TCCCGGAGGAAACATTGGGATGGCTCAGTCCCTGTTGCCTGTTGGAGTCGCCGGTCTCTGAGTCCTCCCACATAACATCAGGGGTGATTGGGACAGCAAACAGTGTGGGGCTATGGCCTATAATGGACCGCATGGGGACACCCGTGGAGGCGTTCTCTGCCTCCGCACTACCCTCAATGAACAATGACAGGGAGGAGCCGTGGAATGGATTGATTCCCCTACAGCCTTACGGAGTCACAGGGCCCTGCTCCTGCCCATGTGATGCAAGGGGAGATGGAGGCTGCTGTCTGTACTCTCCTGGCATCCCTATCAACTAAAAGTGATTGGGCCTTATTCACATCGCACTTTACAATGATCATGAGAGAGATAAAGGTGTCCCTATCTGTAAGGGTAGAATGGCGGCCACACAAAGACCCTATCATATCTCCGAAGATGGACCATGGGAAGACAAACAAACAGCAGGTGCACAGGGAGTGACATCTTACATCATAAGTGGCTATATAAGAACAAGCCTGAGCTCACAACATTGCTGATGGTCTTGTCAGCTAGTGCTTCATGTTTCCTGTTGATTTTGGCTGTGACCTGTTTTGACCTGGATTGTCTTGGACCACTCTGCTGCAAGCCTGCCCCTGACCTTGGCTTGTTTCCTGGACTTCGCTCTTGTCTTCTGATTTGGTACATTGCTGCCCGGCTGGCTCTGACCCTTGGCTTTCTGAACCACGATTCCTGTCTCCTAAATCTGTCCCCACACTGCCCGCCCAGTTTTGACCTTTGGCCTGCTGACTTCTCTACCAGACGTCTCCTGCACTGGGTCTGCTTCAATCCGTGGCACTCGGGCTCCTCGCTGTCCTGCAGCCTTCTGTTCCATCCCCAGGGGTTGCAGGACACGAGCCGCAAGAGAAGACTCCTCATCTTCCGGTCTCTGCCTCAGGTATGTGATACTATCATGACTATCTACTCGTGTGGATACCTGTGACTCCGCGCAAGCAACTCTGGCTCTGCGGGTACAAACATTGGAAGAGATACAGCAGCATCAAAACCGGCTGATGGTAAAACTACAGCTCCATCAGGATGATCTGGAAAATCACAGTAGGTGGAATAATCTGAAGTTGCGGGGTATTTCCATGGCGACGCTGGGCCCTGACTTGAGGTCGACGGTACAGTCCATCTTCAATATGCATCTAAAATGTACCATACTAGTGCCATCAAGATTGATACAGTCTATCTGGTTCAGTCTTTTCGCCCTCCTGGTCCATCTAGACCCAGAGATACGCTTTGCAGAATACACTTCTTCAATCTCAAAGAAGAAATCCTGTGTAGAGCCTGGGAGAGAGGATCGGTGGAGTTTAATGGAGCGACTATTCACATTATCCCGGATCTCTCTCGCCATACCTTAGATGCACAGGATCCTCAAACCACTGCTGGAACGCATCCATGATGTGGGAGTGTCCTATCGATGGGGGTACCCATTTCATCTCCATGTCTACAAGGGGGGTGACTCATTGCTTCAAACGCCGGGTCAACTCCCCGATCTGTTCAACTTACTGGCCATCCCTGCACTGGAAATTTCTGATTGGACGGCTCCAGGTGTCTTGTTTGCTGCCCGTCCTCAAAGGAATAGGCGTCCTTCTGTTCCCCGGAGAGCCACCCACAGAGACTCGGAAGCAGGCCCGACCTCTTAGGAGTCCTGAGGTTGCTAGGTAACCTTTGTCTCATCTGAACGTCCTGTGATTGTTTTTGACCTGTCCTCTCCTGGACATTATGTTGCTGGTGAGGGACCTTTTTGGGTTGTGCTGTATTTTGTGTGTTTTTTTTTGTTGGGGGGCGGTGTTGTGTTGTGCTTTTCTCTTGTTGTGTCCGTAATTTGCTATAGTCTGAACCCTCCTGTCCGTCTAAAATTTCCTTCCGATACTCCTTACTTCATTTCCTTTTTTTTTCTCTCTATACTTCTGCTTTTCCACGTGTGCTGGTGGTGGGGGTTTACTAGTGGCTCTTCTCCCCTGGTGTGATTATT